CTTCTCTACAGTGCAAACCTAGAAAAACAGCATAACATGCCTGCACTTTACAGTTTAGGGAATCCCATAATGACACTATGTACTAGCCTGGCCAGGCAAATTAGCAAGTTATTTGGTAACAGACTGAACTGATGGTCCTCTTCATCACAGGCATAAGTATATTATAAACATAAATCCTCACTGGCCAATGCAGGAGGAGCCCAGAGTACTCAGCAAGTTAAGCCATCTGTTTCCCATCAGAATGCACCCAGAGCATCCAGATCAGATAGATGTCAATCCATTTTCCCTTTGGAAAGGAAAGTCCACAGCAGTCCTGAGAATTTCATCCCATTCCTTTTCACTCCCTTCCACTGTGAAATCACCAAACCAGTGGCTAGTAGTGGCATCATCTGCCCAGACAACACATATTAATCAGCAGACAAATTTCTTCTAGAATGGAACCAAGGGGCCCTCACATAAGTAAAATTAAAGTGATGAGTAAGAAAACAGGGTCAGCGACAAAGCAGGAGGACATGGCAACAAACAGCTGGTAGAAATTGGATTCCATGACCATAGCATTAAAATATCTAAACAAGAAGACATGCTGGGAAAAATTATTTGGGGTCACCAGGAGCAAGGAAATGGAACAGATGGGAACAAACTGGAATGTCTGTTCTGTTTAAATGTTTATTTTTTCCAAGTCTGATACATTACACGGTTATAGTAAAACACTGATTCTCAGGAACCAAGTCTCAGCCACTAAACTGACAAACAGACTTGGCATCCATAAGAATCAATTAAAATATGTTTAGCATTGACTAAGGGCCCAGTTACCTGAAAAGATAAGGTCATTTTCTCCAAAGCCTGGCCAGCCTGTGCATTACTGGTAGAAGAGAAATGGATTTCACAGTGCGAGACAAAACTGCCACTTGGCTGCATTGATCTCCAATGCTTCACCAAGTTTGCAAAACAAAATATGCCTTTTGATTGGTGTGAATTGCCCTTTTGTGATCAGTGGTGGAACTTATTAGGTCTTTTTCAATTATCTTCGGTTTTCGCTTTGAACAGCAAAAAGCACCACCTTAGCCTAGAGTAACTAACAGCTCCTACTCAACCTCCACTCCCAGGAAAGCCAAAAATAAATCTGCACACGTCTTATTCCTCACACAAAGGATGATTATAGAAATCTGATTAACCGCACTGAAGAAAATGGGCTAAACTTACACCATTAAAAATCTCGTGAGAATTTCATTAGAATAATAGCAAAAGCTCATCACAGACACACACATGAAAATGAGAGTGCTTTGCTCTCCCACAGATTTCACTACCTTGGGGAATAACAGATGGGCTAAGATGGGGGCATATGTAAAATATTTATGAAAGGCAAAGTAATTGAGATGGTAACCTCATAAAACAGTAATTTCCTCTACTATATTCAGCAGCATGTACGAAAATGAGAATATGCTTTACATAATAAAATAAAATTCACTGGTCAAAGCTACAGATGAAACAGGAAAAGAGAAGCAGAAAAACAGAAGTTACAGTTCCCTTCCATAAGCTAAAAACTGGTTAGGTTAGTGGTTAGGCAAAAATAGCCGCAGAAAGAGACGTGTGGATGTCTTTGCTGTTGTTATTCCTTGTAAGAAGACCTTGAACTTGTATCGTCTTCCTCTCAAACTGTTTGACATTCTAACAGGGCATGCCCTTTCATGTCCTGATGAAGCGGGTAGATGACTCAAAGTTATTCTGTGAACGTCCAGCATGATATCCATGGAGTGCACAGCCGAAGATTATTGCAAACTGTAACCTGAGGCTTTTCCATGCAGCCACCTTTGCAGCCCCTGTTCTGCTTACCTACTTAGTCAAAATACACTCCATTTTTAATAAATGAGAATGCAATAAACAAGTAGAACGTAAGATCACACTTAAGAACAGTCTTCCTCAAGTTCCACAATAGGAGGAGGAACATCCGAGTAAGTTTTTGATACAGTCTTTAACAAATGCATGTAAAGTGGCTATTAGACCAGTCCAAGGTAGACAGAGAGGAGCAGCAGCATTCCAGCCCCTGGATCTCCTAGACTTACCCCCATGACACATCATTCCTCTTCAATCTCTGAAAATGAAAAACTTGCACAGAAATAATAAAACTTGATCCTGGAAAAGATGAAGAGATTAGTCAAAATGTCAAAGGCAGCATGCCTGCTATGGGATGCTCATGACCTGAGCTGGTTCTCTTTGCAGGGGGAGGTCCATGGTCAGTGCCACAATGTGGCTTGAGAAGCAGAAAGACCTACCTGTCCCAAAACAAGGTGCCCACAGGCCTCACATTTGCTTCAGGCTTCACATTTCTTCAGGGTAAAAGATTATTTCCTTCTTGGAACCTCCATTGGCTCCCACATTCTTAAAATGCAACCATTTATATAATCATTCAGAAAATATTCACAGAGAGTGTATTCCATGACCAGGAACAAGGATAAAATAATAAAAAAGACAAGCAGAGCCCCTGCACATTTTCTAGTCAAGGGTATAAGACATAAGACACTAACCAAAAAAAAATGTTTTAAAATTGGGTAATGTGACAGAGAGTAACTGGTTGGCTACTTTAAATTAGGTGGCCTGAGGACAGCCTTTTTCAGGAGGTGACATTTCCGATGTGGATAACAAGAAGGAGCCAGAATGTGATTAAGAGAAGGAAGAACATTCCTGGCAGAGGCAACAGCTGCTGCAGAGAGTTGAAGTTGAGATATGCTGTGTTTGAAAACAAAAGCTAAAAAGGGAGGGGGCCAGGGATGGAATTAGGTAAATGCAGAAAGATAGGCATGGTCTGAATCACCCTTGGATTTATAAACCAGAGTAAGGAGAGCACAAAGGGAAGCCGTTGGAGGTGTGTAGGCAGGTGACTTACATTTAAAAATACTCTCACTGCTATACAGAGAACAACAGGGAAGCTGCTGTATTGTAGGAAAGCAAGAGTAGAAACAGAGATACCGACGATGCAGCTACTGTAGTAGCCAAGAGTCATGTAATATGGCTTGGCCCAGGGTATGGATGCAGAGATAGAAGCAGATGGATGTGGGGATAGAGTTGATTGGACCTGGTGTTGGTCTGACATGGGAGGAGAGACAGAAAAGGAAGAAAGCACAAATGCTAGACTTTTGGTTTGGGTAACTAACTAGCCAGATGATGAGACCATTCCCCTAGGAAAGGAAGACTAAACAAAGACAGGTTAGGAATCAAGAGTTACTCTTTTGGCCACTTGCTTTTGAAATGTCTATTAAACATCCACACGGAGATATCCAGTAGGCAGCTGGATACAAGGAGTCTGCAGAAAGATCACATACTAAATGTCCTGGAGTGCTCTACTAGGTTTCCGGTGAACTGTGGTTTCATTTCACTTTGTTCTTTCTCTTGCTTAACTCAGCTTTGATAAAGCTAGAATTAGATAAAGTATATAAAGACACTTTACGAAGAATAATGTAAAGCCCTCACATTTGGAATTATTATGACTACCATTTTCCATCAAATATATATCTGGCACACATGATGTTAAAATGTCTTCATTATAGAAGTATCAGGAAATGTAGATTATGCCATCCCTGCCCCAAAAGATACTGTAATTTTTAGTGGGTTCATATTGTAAAGAAAATTGAACCCATCCTAAAAATGATAAAAGGAAAAATATCTCCAAATGAGTTAGCATTTCAGATGAGTCCGCTGTAACCTTAGGCAGCCACACAGACTTGACTTTATATATTTTCTCACATACTTAGCCAAGTAATCAATGCAAAATGGAGAGGTTGTAGTTTCCCTAGTGATGGGCCTGCTGAAAGACTTCACTGCCCCAGATATGGTGAATACTCCCCCACCAAATGCCACATAATCTCAAATTTCATAATTAGTTTCTCCTTTGTGTTTAAAGAAATTCCTATGAAAATGCAGTTTTATGGGACAAGAATATTTCCACTACCGGGCATGAATACTTCAGCATGAAATTAGTTTACATGACTATGAACCAAGAGATATGCCCTTAAGGAATAGGACGGCTGACTGGTTAGTTTGACCTGGGCTGTGGTCAGGTAACCAAGAGAATCTGCTCTTTCTGGGCAGAGAACGTCCAGGCAGACAGGCCAAGCAATGGGACATTCATGGCTCTAAAAGGTAATGTAAGACCATTTCTAACTGATTCTCTTGGCTACATGGTTTTATCCCATGGTGAATGGGACTTCTTTCTTTTGTTCTCATTCAGTAAAAAGAAAAAGCATTAAGGATGAAATAGATATAACTTAGCTGTACCTAGATTTCTCATAGAAACAAAACCTTCAAAACATCAAGAGCTATAAATTGTATCTAGGTAAACTAAGTGCCACAAAAAGAATGAATATACATACCCATATTGTACTCACACCCTGACACTGTTGTCACTATTGTCATTAATAAGAGCATCATCTCTTTGGAATGTCTTCCTTTCTGAGAACTGTTCTGAAATTGAGGTTCCTAGCACCTCAGCCCTCGCTAGAGTTTTCACTGAGGTTATCCACTTGAACGATGAAAATATATCAAACCATTCTCTAAGGCAGTGGAGTTCACAGATGACTTCTGGGGCTACATAAGAGTCATACCTGCTCAGAGAAAACAAATTAAGGTATTGAAAATGGTAATTAAACAAGCTTTAAGGAAATTGTGGTGAGCTTTCAATTTTGCGCATTGTATTTTAACTGGGTTACAGCTTACAAATCTAATTTAAATCCAAAACCGACTTCTTTCAGCAATGATTATGTTTTTATAAACTCTCTCTCCAAGAGGTATGGCATAAGTGGAGAGATGTGCCAGGATACAAACTCATTTTGAGTAGAATATATTTAGAAAGTTGACTTCCTACAGCATTAAATCACTTAGCATTGTCCAAAGCCAACTTAAAATGAGTTTTGAACTTAATTTTAACCAGTGCCTGGGATTCTCTGTGCCGTTACCTATGTGGCCCACTTGACTGACTGAATTTTCTGTCCTGCTTTGTTTTCCAGCCTCTGCGAGCACGTATGTCCCCACGGTGTGCAATGGGCGGGAGGTCCTCGACTCCACCACCTCATCTCTGTGATTGTGAATGCAGTTCAGTTCTCGTGTTTTTAGACTGTTAGATGAAAGTGCTCACACGCAGCTCAGAATATGGAAACAGAGCAAAAGAACAACCGTAGTACCTTTTTTAGAACAGTACAATAAATTATTTTTGAGGACTGTACAGTATATAGTGATGTGTTAGAACTTTTCAGGCTGATTTTAGTGCCCCTGTTAACGATTAACGATTCTCCAGAACATGGAAATAACCATTGTTTACAGAGCTGAGCAGTGGTGACAGGGTCTGACAGGGTCAGTCTACTGAAAAATATGGTGGCAATATTAGGTAACTTTTTTTCCTATGAAGTTTTTTGTAGGTCCTTGTTGTAACTAATTTAGGATGAATTTCTATGTTGTATATTAAAGTTACATTATGTGTAACATTGTTTTTCTCAGCACAAAATTAGAAGCGTCTGTATTAATGTGAAGCTATTGAGAATAAAGCCTTGAAGGTTTTCCAGCATGCTGGGTGATGGCTTTTTCTTTTTGAACCACTTCAGGTAATTTGAATATGCTGACTTCAGGTCATTTCTCCTTGTAAGGCTGGAAGACATTGTCTAACTGTGCTTCTTTTCACATCTATAAGCACCTTGAACACAAGTTGTTACCCTGCTAGAGAGTTGTGAGCAGACTCTCAAGACTTCTTCACAATCACAATGATCAGAAACTGACTGACAAGACCATAAATATCAGGCCAGTTCAGAGGCCAGATGGCAATACACATATAGGTTTTTTTAAGCCACTCTGTATGGCAGCCCAGAATTTGCCCAACCAGGGCTCTGAGGCAAGAAGGAAAGGATGCAGAGACTGTGGCCTGCCAGGGGAGGATTGATGGCTCTCATTTACAAACACCACCTTAATTACTAGGAAGAGACTGGGAAAGCAGCCTGTCATTCCATGGGAAAATCACTCTTACCATTCATAGCTGAGTGAGGAATAAAAATGCAGGATATCTTCATTTCCAGTGCTTTTCCAAAGCCCCAGTAACAATGCTCAGGCACACAGGCTTTTCACCAAACTTGAATATTTTACTAACCTAAATAAAGACATGAACAGGGAAAGCCTGGATAAGCTAAAACTGGCTTAGTCTTACCAATGCTATCCTATTTCTCCTTGTAAACATTTTAGGCATAATCATTTATTAATATAGGAAAATTCATTTACTGGTAAAGAAGCTCACTACCTGCCAGGTCCTGTGTGAGGTGCCATGGATAGAGAATGTGTTAGTTTCCTATAGCTGATGTAACAACTTACCACAAACAGAGTGGCTTAAAACAAGAGAAATTTATTCGCTCACAGTTCTGGAGGCCAGAAGTCCAAACTCAAAGTGCTGGCAGAGGCCCACTCCCTCAGAAGCTTTAGGGGAGAATCCGTTCCAGGCCTCTTCAAGCTAATGGTGGTTGCCAGCTTCCTTGGTTTGTGGTCGCATCACTCCAATCTCTGCTTCTGTCTTCACACCACCTTCTCCTGTGTGTCTGTCTTCTCTCTGTGTCTCTTACAAGGATTTGTCATTGGACTTAGGGACCTCCTGGATAACCAGGATGATCTCAAGACCCTTAATTACATCTGCAAAGGCCCTTTTTCCTAATAAAATAATATTCCCAGGTTCCAGGGATGAGGATGCGGACATATCTTTTTGGGGACCATTATTCAGCCCATGACAGAGAGAAAGATGAATAAGATATAGTTCCTGCCTTTAAAAAACATGAAGACTAGAAAATATTCTTATGAGGAAACTGTAACAGGGGAAGACAGTGAAAGGAAGGAGGAGGGAAATCAAGGGTGTGAAGGATTCACAGGCTAAATAACCACGGCCTGGTTAATTAAGACATACTATTTTTAAGCCAGCCAGCAATAAGGAGCAGGTGCACAAAAGCCAACAGGTCTGCCCTTGAAGGAAACAAATTGAGCAGTCAGATATTAGAATTTCTCTTTTTCCTTCTGGATGCATTTGATTCGGCAACCTAATCAATCCATTCAAAACTCACCAGATGCTCAAAGACAACAGTGCTCACCAGTCTCTGAATTCTCATATTCAAATAAGAACCTGGATTTTTGGGAGTGGGTAGGGTAGATTGGGTAATACATTCAACAGCACTAGATGACAATAACATTTTGTGTGTGTGACTGAAACTGGCAGGAGTGCTAGATAAGTATGCTAGAATGAGCATCTGCGCAAGATAAAGGCTGAGGCAAGGCTGATGGGAGAGAAAATAAACTTAATCCACTGATGGAACATGACAATCTGGGGAAGGCAATATGAGCTGGGTTGTTCAGAAACACAGCTGATGTCTAAAACAATCAAATTGATCATGGATCTTTTTAAACAAGACAATTAGGCTGTGGGTGAATCTTGAGAAAACTGTTTTTGAGGGCTGGGCTTTGATGTATGGCCACTGTACTTCACGCCCTGCCTGTACACTGAAAATGCGCTAACTACAGCTCTCATCATTTTCTTTCCCCTCACACAAGCCTTGTTTCCCATTTGAAAGTGGATCATCTAACATGTGATCCATAGAAATATTTTCTTAAAAACATAGAGTATGTATGAAAAATAGCAACCATTTCAAACAAATAAGTTCTGGGGTGATTGTTTTTTTACTCAAGTAATAACATTTCATCCTTCCAGAATATAAAACTGGTTGAGGTGATCCATCTTTGCAAAAACTTCCTGAATTTAAGGAACTCAAGCAGAATGATATATCCCACTCATAAAAAAATATCAGAACCTAACGACATGGTTATCACTGGTTTTCTGAGTGTTTACAGTTTCTGAAATGCTCTGTGTCCTCTCTAGTTTAAATATTAATAGATTCTCTTGCCCACTCAGGTTTATCATGGCAAAATACTAAGGTCCCATTTTCAAGCTGTGAGGCAAGCTGGTTTGCATACACACAGTGGACAGATTAAGAGAGTGGCTGAGAAAAGAGGTAATTCAACGAGTGTTCCTAGAGTCTTCAATTCCACACTTTCTCTCAGCTAGCCCCCGGCTTTAGTCACTTGTCCACCATGACAGATTTGGGCCCCAGAGCTCTTCAGCAAAGGGCTGTGTAAGCATTGAAAAGTCAAGAAAAGTAAGGCACGAGGAAGATGGAACATCAGTGTGGATTATAACCGCCACAGCTCTAATAACAAAGGCCTAAACCCATGAATAAGGGTTCTACAAAAGAAAGTTGGGATTTGCATAATTCCCTTTGGTTTAGCTCATTTATGTAACCCAACCAATGGTAATCTGAAGTCAGCCATCTGAGATAAAGGATATATTGCCCTCCTCCAAACCAAATTTAACAATATCCACAAGCTATTTTAGACAGAGCTCTTCTTCCAAGAATCATTAATAAGATGAGGAAAATTCCAGGAAATTAAGTCTCACTGGGACATTTTGTTCACGAAAATTAGAGGTCTGTTTCTTGAACCACCAATCATTAAAGGAATCCTAAATGTCTATTGTAGCTCAGCAAGTCTTAATAAGATTTGGTAAATGTATGTGCATTGAAATGTGCACTGACTGAATGCATGCAGATGGACCAGGGGACCCTCTCCAGTGCCAGGGCTCAAGAATGTCTGATGAAGCTACTTTTATGTATCAATATCCTTTACTTCCATATGGTTACTTTAAATGGATCTGTATGGGGGCCCGCTCCGTGGCCAAGTGGTTAAGTTGGTGCACTCCGCTGTGGCGGCCCAGGGTTCAGATCCTGGGAGTGGACACGGCACTGCTCTTCAGGCCACGTTGAGGCAGCGTCCCACATCCCACATCTAGAAGGACATGCAACTAAGATATACAACTGTGTACGGGGGGGTTGGGGAGATAAAAGCAGAAAAAAAAAAAAAGATTGGCAACAGTTGTTAGCACAGGTGCCAATCTTTGGGGGAAAAAAATAAATAAATAAATGGATCTGTATGTAAGATTGAATATTAATCTCCAAATCCAGTTACCTTAGCAATAGAAGTTATATAAACCCCACAAAAAAAGGGTTTTAAATCAATCTGGAATTCACTTGCTATAGTTTTATCATTTGCTAATCAACATCCACAGTCAAGTCCCAGAACTACAGGAGGAACTCAGAAGAGTATCTGGCTTTGTCTTTGGGTAGGTGATTAAATCATCAAGGGATGGTGATGGGTTATTTTCTTCTTAAACATCTCTAGAGACTTGAGAAACTTTTAAGGTGGTAAGTTCCTAAAGGACAAAGAATCTATATGCAAACAGATTCTTCTGAATAGTTTGCTTGTGGGTCTCAGTGATCAAAACCAGGGGTCAGCAAACCAAAGCTCGCAGGTCAAATCCTAGCCTAATACCTGTTTTTATAAAACCTGTGAGCTAAGAACGCTTCTATGTTCTAAATACTTGGGAAAAAATCAAAAGAAGAATATTTCATAGGTGAAATTTAAATGAAACTCAAATTTCAGTGGACATAAAGTTTTATTAGAATGCAGTCACAACCACTGTTTACATATTGTCTGTGGCTGCTTTCATGCTACAATGGCAGAGTTGAGGAGTTGCAACAGAGACCACATGTCCTGCAAAGCTGAAAATATTTACCATCTGACCCTTTACAGAAAAGTCTTGCTGGCCTCTGATCTAGAGAATTGCAGAAGTAATATCAATTATTACCAATTCTAATAGTAATATTCATTGCAATAGAAGTATCAATTAATTTTCAATTATTTGTCCCCATCTTAAAGTTTTACTTCCTTAATTTATGATCCTAAAATAAACTCATCTGAAAATGTCAAACCAAAAGAAATAAAATCCAGCAAGAATGTAATCTCTGGCCACTTACTGTGAAGGTGAACTCCACTTTAGCATCCAAGTAATGAATTGGGTGTACAGAGATTTTTCCTTTTTTTTACGTTTACTCCTCTTGATACCTTTTATTTAGGGCAACCTTAATTTAGGACTTAGGCCTATAAACTTAAGAATAATATTCATGGTTACTATAAAATGATGTTAGGGTATTTTAAGTCCTCTGAAGAAGTTCTACTGTACCTATCTTTTGTGTAAAAAGATAAATATGAGCAATACAATGACTTTAAACTTGCCAATGAAGTCATCTTCCCACCCCAACTCCTAGGAAATTTACTTTCATGAGGAAGAGAGAAACAATCTGCACCTTAGCCTCCCATTAGGAATTTCCTTGAGCCACAGGAAGTAGCTCTATTGACAGATGTCAAATAAGACAGCTGACCAGATTGGTCTTAAAGAACCACAGTTAATCATGACCCACCACGTGGCAACCTGAAGACACCAGTTGGTAAATCACTGGACCCAAGCCATTCTTCCACATAACCATTTAAACTACATTTTCTTCTTGGAAAGAAAATAATGACAAAAGTCTACAGAAAAATACTATGAAACATTTTTAATCCTGGAAAGGACTTGATTACCAGTAAACCAAAGAAGGGAAAAGTCAACAAAAATAAAATTCAGTCTTTTAAATCAAGTAAACACATATCAAGTCGCTCAAATTTGTTACATGGCATGATATAATTTATCCATGGAAGACATGGTCTCACCCAGTGGAAAATTGATTTAAATACGTTTTGAAAGAGTGCTAAGAGATATTATAGATGACAGTTGACTTAATGAAGTATTTAAGGTTTCAAAACTGTGCCTTTTGGAAAAATAGCAACTTCTACCACTTACAGGGGAAAAGGAATGACAAATATCAATTAAAAGTCCTAGAAACGTGATTAATTTCTTTATGCCTTTCAACATTCCACTGAGCTCTGTAAAAGCAAGACATAAAACTAAGTGAATTTTATAGTCAGAATTAGTCTGAATACTTTCCTCATAATATTCTTTCTGTCATACTTCTTCAATGCTTCAATTCAAATAACAAACCAGCGGGATCCAAAGGAAAAAGGTAGCTCCTTTCCAAAGATGGGACTGAGCTGACAAAATCTATTTAATATCTAAAATTAGCAATAAGATAAATAAATTCTTCAATACCAACTACATTTTCAGAGAGTTCATTAAAATTTAAGGCATTTTTGACATGTTGGAAATTTTAGTCCAGTGACAGTAGAAGAAAGAAGCTACCTAGGAGCAAATCCCAATTATCTCTATGGCTTGGAACATACATGATGAGCACAGCCAAAGGCGGAGAGAGAGGTGACAGGTGACTATGTGAAAACTTCCTGACTCTATCCAGTCTGTACCACTTTGCCAGAGTTCCTCTGAAAAGATGCATTTCAAATGTATTTTCATTCTTCTGTTTGAATTTTGATCAAGATGGGGAAAGGTTCATCAGCACTGTTAGCAGGATAAAAATGAGCAATGCCAAAATGATTTCTTCATTCTAATAAGATTTAAGAAGTTAAATGTGAAAAAGGTTTATGCTAAGTGATGCTCCTACCCCCAATTTCACAACAAATAGTAAAATAATGGCAATCTCACCTATACTCATGAATCCAACAGTAAAGATGTACACAAAACAAGCATTCATTCAACAACAACTGAATGGTCCAGTGTTTTACCCCAGCCAAATAAATGCAATTATTTATTTTTCTCCCATTTTCCACAAAAATAAAGATATCACCCGCCAAATCAAAAGTTATAAGTCATACCTCACTGAAAGACTTAGGGCAAAACATTCAACAAAGCCTGCCCATATGCCTTGTCTCTCTCAGCCAATCACCAGTCCATTTAAAAATGTGGATTAAGATCTATAAAGATTACTGTTTATTGGAAATAAACCAGAGCACCTTAGATCACCAATGGCCAGGAAACCCCCTCTTTCCCAATTCTAAAACAGTTAATGTCTACACAAAATTGGTCAAATCCAACTTCATTCAAACTTCTTTCAACAAATAACATTCAAGTTGTGCTAATACTAGCAATCCATCCACCATACGAAATATCACAATTATCTGGATCACTTTTGAATAAGAATAACAATACTTCTTTCATAACTGTTTATGGTATGACCACAGTCTTACTATGAATACAATCATATGCAATTTTCCAAAATTGAATTCCCGCCTTGTTGACTTAAAAAGAAAAACTTCCATGGAACTCATAATCCTCAATGTCTTAGCAGAAAAATAACCATATAACCTTTGATGCTTGACATAGGGCAAATGCTCCAATGCCATTTTCTGGAGACCACAAAATTATCCCAATATCTTTGTACAGTTATCTGTACTTATACACAAGCCATCCCACTTTCTTCTTCATGATTTGGCAAATGATTTGACAAACAAGCTTTCCTCCTCATTTTAAATTATATTTCAAGCACTCTATAAACTGTGTCAACTTCTATGATAGTGTCATCTTGTTTGTATTAATGGAAAGTCAAGGCTTCTCTTTGCCTTTATTTTTTTTAAGATTCCTTCAACGCTTTCAGTCAAGCCCTTCTTACCAGTTCCAACAAGGATGGAATTTCAAAGGCAAATATAAGTTTAGAAAACCCAAGCACATGCTGACTCTTCCTAAAAAAAGTACTGCCTACTTAGGCTTCTGAAATCAAGAAAGATACCCCATGGAGAAATGAAAAACTTATTGTCTTTCTTTGTTCACCAATTTTAATAGAAAAGATGTTTAAGGTCTATCAGGAAAATAATGGGAAAAATAATTATACCTTAAAAACTTTTTCAAATCTTCCCCAAAATATAAACAAAGACAAGACATAAATGGGATCACAATGCATATGCTCACACCTGCCCACCAAAGCACACTTTTCATGTAGAAGTTATAAAGAATAAAAGTTACCCATTAATTATATGGCATGCATCAGCAGTGCATTGGTGGGCTTAACCTTGGTTTTCAGTTATGTGTATATACAGATAAATCTCTTCCTGAGTTGAGCTTCATCTTGAGTTGAGACTCAAACCATTTGCTTTCCTATTTTTGGCAAGATACTTGACCATGTGATAAGGCAATCAAACATTTCAAACTCCTTCCCTTTTCAGCTCATGGCCCTCCTCGTTGAGATCACCAATGTGCCAGGTATGAGGACAGGATCTACACTATGTCCTGTAAAACTAGAGAGTAGGTTTCTTTGTTCGTTAGTCTGAAGGCTACAGCACTGTCTTTTCATATATTTGGGGATCTTGCAGATTTCAGTTGAACAGATTCAAAATGGTCTTCTTTTTCCTATGAAGAAAAAAATATCAAAACAAAATCAACTCAGTAAAATTCCTATAAGATTTTAGGATCTTATGTGTCCAGAAGGAAAGTTCTGGAAATTATTTTAATCTGTGTACCTGCCACTTGTAATTAGGATTTTACATTTAAAGAAGGGTAGCAGATATAAAACAAACAGCATGCCTACCCTGAAGGATGGTTTTGATGTCCAGGAGATAAGACAGACAATCCAAAATAGAAGCAAACACATGATTGCAACAGATACCAAAAGATGTAGCTGTGATTCTTGTGAAGAAACCACTGAGACCCTTCCCAAGGGGCATCTGACCTGGGTGCTGAAATAGATGACCTTCCCATGTGAATTTTGGACAAAATAGAACTGACGGGAACTAAATATTCTCAAGATAACATAGGCTAAGGCTAAATAATAAGAAAAAGGACAGGAGAAATAAATGAGAACACCCATAAGACATAAGATCATTTGGGTTCACTGATATGATTTAGGAAAATCTTTCGGGTGCATGCTTACTAAAGATATTAAAAACAAGTCACCTTAGAGAATAAATCAAAATTTTAACTCAAATATATCATTACTGGTATTTGTTATATAATACATTCAAAATGTGGCCCATTAAAATAAATTATTCTTCTTTAACGGGGAAAAAGAGATATAAGAGGTATGATTTCTCCCAATGTTTTCATTATGAAAGTTAGAAAAAGCCTTTTGGAAGGCTGCTGGAATGGGGTGAGGAGACTATGCTTTTGAAGAAAATGAAGATGAAGAGAACTAGAATTATTTTCAAAATAAAGGAACTAGGAGGCAGACTAATCCTAGGTGCAAATGGATGTGTGTCTAAAGTAGAGAAGTAAAATGAGAAAATAATAGGAAGTAGACATTGAGTATCTGTCAGGAAGAATAAGATTGCTTTTGTGTTTTCTCTCATTTGAGTGGAGAAGTCCAAGACTTCAAAGAAGTATTAAGGCTACAGGGACAAGATCATAGAAAAAAATCCCAGCATGGACACCAACATAGCACTTTTCCCTGCCTTTGCTGAGATGAGAAGTGCCTGGGAGAGCAGACTGCAGATCTCAGCACTCTAACTCACTGACTTGCCTGAAGTCTCATGTTCACCAGCCTTAATTTTTTTGGAATAACCACTGATAATTCATAAAATTTATTCACCCACTGTGTTGCAAGAACAGGACTAGACTTCAGAGATACAAAATGTCTGTCCTCAAGGAGCTCACAGTATATTACAGGAAATAGCTTTAGGGTATCACCCATGACCTAGAAACGAAATCTGAGATTTTTGTGGCCTTTCCTGGAGAAGATTTGATTCAACATATTCCTGGGGGGAGGGAAGACAGAGAGTTGTTGGTTATCCTCAAGGTGATATTTAAACATTGAAAACACTTTAAAAGATCATGTTAGCGTCATAGGGCTTTAGTTGCCATGTCTCCTGTGTTTACATGGGATTTTGCTTCTACCACTGATATTGAGGGATATATACATAAGCATCTGTCTGTGTGTCTGTTTGTGTGTGTGTGTGTAGTTAGCACTACTAATTCACTGGAACTTCTTGATGGGAGGAATTGTATCTTGTTCATTTTTGAATTCTCAAAACATGACCCAAGGCCTAGCACATGGTAGACTGTCAATCAATGGCTATGAAAACATACTGAAACATCACATTGTAGAAGGAAAAGCAGTGGATTGGAACTCAGGAGATGTGGCTTCTAATTCCTATCTAATTCCTATCTAATATCTCTCTTGGACATACTAATGAACTTCTCTAGGTCTCAGTTTACTCATGCATTAAATATGCCATACAAAATGATCTTTGTAAGCTCTAATTTCAAGAATCTACTCAAAAGCCAACTTCTTTCAGAAGCTTCTCCTTACCTTGTCACTACCCACCTCACAGCACTCCTTTCTCCTCTGTGCTCCAAGAGACCCTACTCAATGCTCTTGCTATACTGGACGATTACGTGTGTGTGTGTGTGTGTGTGTGTGTGTGTGTGTGTGATGTGCACGTGTCCTCCACCCATAAATCCATAGTCTCTGAGATAAGAACCTATCTAATTTGACATATCACCAAAACCTGGCAGAGGGTCTAAAACACAGTGTCCCATAAATGACTGTGGAATGAACAAAGAAAAGGAAATAAATGAAAAAGTCAACTGAAGATTTTATTTTTTAATTGCTGAGAAAAGTCAAGTGGAGCAAATCTATAAATAAAACCCCACAAGTCCAGTGTATTTGTAGGGAAACACCAAATAAGATATGATCTTTAGAACATGAATAAGGATACATAAGATAAAGCAAACCTTACATGACACAGCAGTTAAGAAACTTGTAAATATTTTTGCCCCATGTAACCATGCATAAAAAATTTTTTTAAATAGGACACACAATAAGACTTGTACAATGATATTCATTAGCAGCTTTATTCATAGCTAAACACTGGAAATACCACAAGTATCCATCAGCAGAAGAATGGATAGACAAATTTTGGCATATTCATACAATATACTACTATTCCTGAATAGAAAGAAATCTACTACTGATTAACACAAGTGGATAAATCCAAAAACATTTTTTCTGAGTGAAAGAAAACTTAAACTACATTCTGTGTAGTTACAATTACATGAAGTTCTAAAACAGACAAAACTAATCTATAGTTTACAAAGATCATTACAGTGGTTTCCCTTGGGGGATGAGGATGGGGACTGACCGCATGCAAGAGGGTGTGAGTTTACTTTCAGGGGTGAGGCTAATGTTCTATATCTTGATAGGGTTTGGGGCTATACAGGTATACGCATTTCTCAAAATTCATCAAATTGTATCCTTGCAGTGTGAATATTTCACTCTAGGTAAACATTTTATCTTAAAACAACTCCAAAATATCGAATTCTCTCCTCATTTATATGCATCCTGAAGTATTTAGGGATGAAATGTATGGAAGTCTGCAACTTACTTTGAAATGTATCAAAAAAAGAAGACGTAGTGACAAATGAATAGAAGGAGACAGATTTGGAGAGATATGTAATAAAGCAGATGTAGTAAAATTTAGGTGGTGTGTATATGGCTGTACCACTGTACAATTCTTTCAACTTTTCTCTATCTCAAATTTTCATTCAAATTTTTTTTAATTATATGTTGACTAAAATTGCTATTCAAAACAAAATATGGTATACTGAACCTTCTCAGGGAGAAAAGTTCTATCCTCCATCTTGTTTCCTGTGATTGTTTTCAAGAACATTTTGAAGTTTTCAATTCTCTGGCTATAAAATAACAACAGAAGACGTACTGCAATATAAGGAAACACTTAAAAGTTTATTTAATACTTGTAATTCTCATTTATTCTTTTATATTCAGCTTAGAGGTCTCTTTCTCTTAAAATTCTTTCCTGGCACCTAAATGCTTTGTTCATTATAAGACAACGCCCTTACAAATAGGGAATCACAAGATCAAACCAGGCAAGAAAAGTCTAAGCAAACTGCTAGTGGGAGATAATTCTCCATAGGTCCCTTGTATTTCTGCATCTCTTGTGAGGAAGATATTGATTGTCTCTTGTTCTAGATAATCTTCTCAAAGATGTTTATATTACAAAAAGCTTTGGATGATACAGATAATGTCTCCCTCCACAACAAACGAAAAGTTTACCTACAGTCCTGAAAGCTAGAGACAGTGTCTCCCTCTGTGAAGCAAATGGCAGACATGCTTGCTGCCTCTTATAAAAGATTCAGGTTCCCCAAGCTAAGGGCTCCTCTTCTGTAATACAACCCACTGTGTGTACAGGTGTCTTCTAGCCCACTTCATTCTGTGAAAAGTGGGGCTTGAAGAACCAAAGCAAACACCGTTATTTTGGCCATTGCCATTGCTATGAGTAATAAACTGTGTTTTGTCTCTGACCCAGGAGACTCATATCTTCCAAAGTATCCATAAAACTATGGCAGGTTAATTTGTTGCTAGCAAATAGAGTGAAATTTCATAACCTTCACAGTTCTTCTCTGTTTTGCTGATGATGGGAAACTGACAGAGAAGTATCTTTCTGTAAGAGAAAGGATGAGAGCTTCATACACTGGTTGACAAGATCTGAGGGACATCCATGAGAATTAGTTGCAAACATGTTGACCAAATTGTTTGGTCAACAAGGCAAAAAAGTGGTCCTCCACTCTACCGCCTGAAAACAAAAAGGACATGAGGAGGTGGTGGCAGGCTTAGTACTGGGAAGTGGGTTCAAAGAGTTCACAGTTCAGCTGCCCGAATGATGGCCTGGATCTGCTGGATGTTGTTAATTCTCCTCTGGGGAGGATGCCTTCCTTACCAATCAGGCAATCAACCTCAGGTGTGCCCCACGTTAACTAGTATTAAAATTCATCCTTATAGGAAAAGAAGATACACCTTCTTTCAGACAATAGTTACAGAGACATATACCTACAATGAGCATTAAAGAAAAAAAGAAACCACTTATGGGCAGCAAGTAGGTGAATTGTTAGAATTTTGGCTGGTTCACTTTGGAGATGATGTGGTAGAACTCAATGACTATTAAAAATGGCAACAACTGGGCCATCCTAGGACTCAACACCTCTTGCACACCATCATACCAACTCTGGATCCATTCAAAGATGGATGGTCATTCAAAGACCTCAGTAAAAGGTCTCAGAGATTTTGCAGTGGGTACTGATGGCAAGAACAGAGCATTGGCTTTCTCTGGAGATTTCCCTGAGACTAATTCCCACAGGAAAACTTGGTGAGGCACTGACTAGTATTTCAGCTCTTGTTGCCCCAGTCTGGGTTTACAAGGTGGAGGGAGGTTCACTGGAGAACAAGAAACTGACTCTAAGGAATCTTGATAAATTAGTGTGATCAGCCCCACCCTGGAAATTTCCCCCATCCTTTATTTTAAAAACCAGGCATTAACTTAGATGTTGTGACACTGAAGCAAGAAATAAGGTGGATTCCTTTAAAAAGCTCCAATATGTGAGTCAAACTCAAATCAACA